GGGGTGTAAGGGGTGCAAGGGGTCCTGTTTGGGGTCTATAGGGGACAGGGGGTCCTGTTTGGGTCCTGTTTGGGGTGTGATGGGGACAAGGGGTCCTGTTTGGGGTGTGTGGGGGATAAGGGGTCCTGTTCGGTGTGTAAGGGGTGCAAGGGGTCCTGTTTGGGGTCTATAGGGGACAGGGGCTCCTGTTTGGGTCCTGTTTGGGGTGTGATGGGGACAAGGGGTCCTGTTTGGGGTCTATAGGGGACAGGGGCTCCTGTTTGGGTCCTGTTTGGGGTGTGAGGGGGACAAGGGGTCCTGTTTGGGTCCTTTTTGGGGTGTATGGGGGACAAGGGGTCCTGTTTGGGTCCTGTTTGGGGTGTGTGGGGTGCAAGGGGGTCCTGTTTGGGTCCTGTTTGGGGTGTGTGGGGGACAAGGGGTCCTGTTTGGGGTTTATGGGGGGCTGAGACCCCCAGGGAGGGGGACAAGGGGTCCTGTTTGTGGTGTATGGGGTGCAAGGGGTCCTGTTTGGGGTGTATGGGGGACAAGAGGTCCTTTTTGGGGTGTATGGGCGGCTGAGACCCCTGGGGAGGGGACAAGGGGTCCTGTTTGGGGTGTATGGGCGGCTGAGACCCCTGGGGAGGGGACAAGGGGTCCTGTTTGGGGTGTAAGAGGTGCAAGGGGTCCTGTTTGGGGTGTGGGGGGGATAAGGGGTCCTGTTTGGGTCCTGTTTGGGGTGTATGGGGGATAAGGGGTCCTGATTGGGGTGTGTGGGGTGCAAGGGGTCCTGTTTGGGTCCTATTTGGAGTGTATGGGGTGCAAGGGGTCCTGTTCGTGGTGTGTGGGGTGCTGAGACCCCTGGGGAGGGGGCTACACATGGACCCTATTTGGGGGTGCAGGGGGGTCATTTGTGGGGTTTGCGTAGGACTGAGCCCATTTCGGGGTTCATTATTGGGATTTGAGCAGAACTGAGCCCACTTTGGGGTTGGTTATTGGGATTTGTGTAGAACTGAGCCCTGTTTGGGGTCTGTCACAAACCGAGCCCATTTTGGGGTTCATTACTGGGATTTGAGCAGAACTGAGCCCATTTCGGGGTCTGTCACAAACCGAGCCCACTTTGGGGTCTGTCACAAACCAAGCCCATTTTGAGGTTCATTACTGGAATTTGAGCAGAACCGAGCCCAGTTTGGGGTCTGTTACAAACTGAGCCCAGTTTGGGGTCTGTCACAAACCGAGCCCATTTCGGGGTTCATTATTGGGATTTGAGCAGAACCGAGCCCATTTCGGGGTCTGTCACAAACCGAGCCGATTTCGGGGTCTGTTACAAACCGAGCCCATTTCGGGGTCTGTTACAAACCGAGCCCACTTTGGGGTCTGTCACAAACCCAGCCTATTTCGGGGTTCATTCCTGGGATTTGAGCAGAACCGAGCCCATTTCGGGGTCTGTTAAAAACCGAGCCCAGTTTGGGGTCTGTCACAAACCGAGCCCACTTTGGGGTCTGTCACAAACCGAGCCCATTTCGGGGTCTGTCACAAACCCAGCCCATTTCGGGGTTCATTCCTGGGATTTGAGCAGAACCGAGCCCACTTTGGGGTCTGTCACAAACCGAGCCCATTTCGGGGTCTGTCACAAACCGAGCCCATTTCGGGGTGTGTTACAAACCGAGCCCACTTTGGGGTCTGTCAGAAACCGACCCCACTTTGGGGTCTGTTACAAACCGAGCCCATTTCGGGGTTCATTACTGGGATTTGAGCAGAACCAAGCCCATTTCGGGGTCTGTTACAAACGGAGCCCACTTTGGGGTCTGTCACAAACCAAGCCCAGTTTGGGGTCTGTCACAAACCGAGCCCACTTTGGGGTCTGTTACAAACCAAGCCCATTTCGGGGTCTGTCACAAACCGAGCCCATTTTGGGGTCTGTCACAAACCGAGCCCATTTCGGGGTCTGTCACAAACCGAGCCCATTTCGGGGTTCATTCCTGGGATTTGAGCAGAACCGAGCCCATTTCGGGGTGCAGCCCCCAGCCCTGAACCCTCGCCCTGCCCGCAGGATGGCCGAGGGTGGCTCTGGCAGCTCGGGCTCGCCGGGCAGCGCCCGCCCGGGGCTCCGGGGGGTGCTGGGCCGGCGCCCCAGCGCCGCCCCCCAACTCGGCCCCGGCCGCCTGCCCTCCATCCGCTCCCGCGACCTCACCCTGGGCGGCGTCAAAAAGGTGAGACCCCCCTTTTCCCCCCAAAATTGGGGTCACTCCCCATCCCCAGCCAGGGTTTGGGGTGGTGACAAAGCCCAGGGTGGATTTTGGGGTGATTTTTTTTTCCTCTCTGCCCACAGAAAACCTTTGCCCCCAACATCATCAGCAGGAAGATCAAGGAGGAGTGAGTGGACATCAGGGGGGTTAAAAAAGGGGGGATGGGGATGGTTTTGGGGGGCTGGAGCGTTTTTGGTGGGGGGGAGGTTGTGGGGAGTGGAACTGGTTGGGTTGGAGAAGGGAGGAGTGGAAGGGGATCCATGGAAATATCCCAAATATCCATGGAAATGGCTGAGATATCCCAAAAGTTCGTATAAATATATCAGAATTTCATATAAATATCCTGAATATCCATAGAAATATCCCAAATATCCTTGGAAATGGCTGAGATATCCCAAATATTCATATAAATGTATCAGAATTCCATATAAATATCCTGAATATCCATAGAAATATCCCATATATCCATGGAAATGGCTGAGATATCCATGGAGATATCCCAAATGTTCCTATAAAAATCACAGCATTCCATATAAATATCCTGAATATCCATAGGAATATCCATGGAAATATCCCAAATATCCATGGAAATATCACAGATATCTATGGAAATTCTCAGGAATTTGTATAAATATCCCAAATATCAATGGAAATGTCTAAGATATCCCAAATGTTCATATAAATATCTCAGAATTCCACATAAATATCCTGAATGTCCATAGGAATATCCATAGAAATATCCCAAATATCCATGGAAATGGCTGAGATATCCATGGAGATATCCCAAATATTCATGCAAATATCTCAGAATTCCATATCCATGGGAATATCCATAAAAATATCCCAAATATCCATGGAAATGGCTGAGATATCCATGGAGATATCCCAAATGTTCATATAAATATCTCAGAATTCCATATCCATGGAAATATCCATAGAAGTATCCCAAATATCTATGGAAATGTCTGAGATATCCTAAATGTTCATATAAATACCTCAGAATTCCACATAAATATCCCAAATATCCATGGAAATTCTCAGAATTCCGTATAAATAACCCGAATATCCATATAAATATCTCAGAATTCCATATAAATTTCCTAAATATCCATATAAATATCTCAGAATTCCATATAAATATCCCAAAAGTGCCTCCGGGTGCTGTCCAGGGATCTCCTCCCAAGCCCCCGGGTCATGGCAGGGCCATGGGGCAGGGCTGAGGCTGACGTGCCCCCTGTGCCTCCTGTGCCCCCCGTGCCCCCTGTGT